ATTCATGAAGGTATTTGTGGTACCCATTCGGGTGGACGAACCATGGCTGCTAAAATATTAAGAGCTGGATACTTTTGGCCAACACTTGCCCAGGATTACCAAACATTTGTGAAGAAATGTATTCCCTGTCAACAGCATGGTTCTTATTTACACCAACATGCCGACATCTTTCATCCTGTCGGTTCTCCTTGGCCTTTTGCCATTTGGAGTATGGATCTTCTCGGTCCTTTTCCTTTAGCAAAAAGACAGTGTAAATTCTTGATAGTCGTTGTGGGTTACTTCACTAAGTGGATAGAAGCCGAACCACTCGCCACCATCACGGCTAACAATGTTCAAAAGTTCACATGAAAAAACATTATTACACGATTCGGTATTCCTCATGCATTAATAACAGATAACGGACTGCAGTTTACAGATCGCCACTTTAATGAATTTTTAGAAGGGCTTCATATTAAACACAGGGTCACATCTGTTGAACATTCACAGACTAATGGTCAGGTCGAGGCTGCAAACATAGTCATCTTACATGAACTTAAAAGGAGGTTAGGGTCGGCCAAAGGAGAATGGGCAAAAAAACTACCTGAGATCCTATGGGCTTATCGCTGTACACCGCAAACTACCACAAAAGAAACCCATTTTCGACTAACCTATGGTACTGATGCCATGGTACCGGTCGAGATTGGAGAACCATCTTTTCGAAAGGAGAACTTTGAGTAATCGGCCAATAGTGAATCTCTAGCTGTCAACCTGGACTTGCTAGATGAAGTACGCGGCCAAGCAGCAATAATGACTGAAGCTAGTAGAAGAATGATGGCCAAGAAATTTAATTCCAAAATTATCCCAAGATAATTTTATGTGGACGACTTAGTGTGGCGAGTAACTAGAGACGCGCGACGAGATCGGCGAGAAGGGAAGTTGGCAGCCAACTGGGAAGGACCCTTTCGGGTAGCGGCAAGATTAGACAATGGCGCATACAAGTTGGAGACGTTGGAAGGGAAGTTTATACCGAGAACTTGGAATGTCACACACTTAAAGCATTATTTTAGTAGAATGTCTGTAACATGTAACTGTGCACTCTTTTCCTCGCCCAGGTTTTGTCCTCTTAAAAGAAAGTGAAAAACGGTTTTCCTGGGAAGGTTTTTAATGAGGCACCTTATCAATAAAATATTTCTTCTCAAATATGAGGTTTTCGTGGGTTAGTTAATCTCTCTACCAAGTACTTGATTTAAATTCATATAATTAATTCCCTCCCGAGTACCCTTACTCGGCTAAGGATGAATCATTATTACAATTTCCTCCCAAGTATTTTTATTTGGCTAAGGTTGAATTAATTAATTCTCTCCCAAGTACCTCTATTCGGTTAAGGATGAATCATTAATTATTACAATTCCATCCCAAGTACTTCTACTTGACTAAGGTTGAATTAATTAATTCCCTCCCGAGTACCCCTACTCGGCTAAGGATGAATCATTAATTATTACAATTCCCTCCCAAGTACTTCTACTTGGCCAATGTTGAATTTAATTCCCTCTCGAGTACCCCTACTCGGCCAAGGACGAATCATTACTACAATTCCGTCCCAAATACTTCTACTTGGTCAAGGTTGAAATAGTTATTTCCCTCCTGAATACCCCTACTCGGCTAAGGATGAATCATTAATTATTCCCTCTCAAGTATTTCTACTTGACTAAGGTTGAATTAATTAATCCCCTCCCGAATACCCCTACTCGGCCAATAATGAATCAATTATTACAAGTACCTCGGCTAAGGTTGAATTCATTAAATCCGTCACGAGTACCGTACTCGGCCAAAAAATGAAACAAACATGAGTATTCGGCTTAGTTGTTTTATATAGAAAATTTAAAAGAGAATTAAACTTGTATTTCATTTGAAGTGATTACAAAATTGGGGCACTATCGGCCCATGAATACAAAAGAAAATCAAGAAACCATTAATTTCCCTCCTCTCCAGCATCTGGACCAGAGACGTCAGGACCGGGTGCATCAATAACAGGGGCTTCAGCATTGTTATCAACTCTTGGAAGGGCTTCGGTGTCAGGTTCTAGATCATCATCCACATCATTATATGGTAAAAACCTACCACCGAAAAAATCTCTGGTAAGATCGAAATGGAAATTAGCAGGCACTTGGCAGAAGCCATAGCACTGACGAACGGCATGGTTAAAACCCGACTCGTGTTCAATAGCCACTTGGACTGAACACTTGTTGGCAAAGGCCTTCATTTCAACATCAGCCTTTTGCCTTTCAACGGCCAATGCTTCTTCCATTTCAACAGATTTGACCCTCAAGGCCTCCTCCAATCCCAAAGATTTTACCCTCCAAGCCTCCAATTCTTCCTCTTTAGCCCTCAGTGCTTGCTCGGTAGCCTGGAGCCGATTCTCCACTATATGATAGTGTTCCTTATATTGAACAACCTCGGCTTCCAAAGCTTTATTGGTCTCAGCAAGATTTAGCCGAATCTCCTCATTATCTGCTAAAGCTTGTTGAGAGATGGAGTACTCGTTTTGCACCTTCCTCATCTCAAGTGTCGGCTCCAGAGCTAGTCTTCGAAGCATCATCATGGATCAGATTTGAAACTCCGAGTAACATTTCCACAGAGACTCGAGGTCTAGGTTGTTGACCGCTTCCTTTCCTGCATCTGAAAGCAAGTCAGGTGCAACTGCTCGTCCAAAATGTACTCCTGGGATGAGGAAGGTGTCGGTCAAGAAGAATGGAGGAATGACAGTATTGGAAGAGCTGCCAGCCCCGGATACCAAATCACCTCGGGCTTGATTTCGTGCCCCATCCGAACCACTCGGTTTACCCGAGTGGGAATGCTTCCTTTTCTTCTCCCTCTCGGCCTCTTTGTCTTTACTTTTCTCCTTCTCCTTTCCTTTCTCTCTACGCCTCTTGGGTTGGTTCTCGGCAATAACCAGGTCTCGGGGAGGAGGACAGGGCCCAGTTATCTTTGGCGCATGATCGAGCTGAGGGTTTCGATGTTCCTCAATTGGTATGTTTTTAGGTGTCTTGCACTTCAAGGTCTTACGGTATGTTGGTACGTGAATACCGCGTTGAGCCATTAAGCCTACAATAAAAACAAAAAGTCAAATCAACAAAGTTTGATTCCAAAAAACTAAGTCATTAAGACGAAATATACCATCCATGTCCAGACGAGGGTGAGGAGATTTTAACACTAAAAGGATGTGTCGGACAGGAAGCTCTCGGGGAAGAGACTTCAAGTACTTCAAAGCTGATAGCTCTTTGGCCGACAACAGTTCCTCCGGGATCCAGTCATATCGACAAGGCACTTGGGTCCAGTGGAAGGGGAAGAGAGGATTATTCTCACTATCAAAGAAAAAGTTTCTACCTACAGGGTGGACGGTTACTTTGAAGTAGCCGGTCTTAAAACTCTTAAAAGATTAAGCATATGGCTTAAACAGTGGCAATTCTTGTTGCCTTATTAAAGATATCCATCTTGCTAAGTCTGATGGACGAGTACAGAAGAAATAAAGAAATAAGCCTACACTAGATTCTATATAATGAAATTTACAAAGTACTCTAAATGCTTGAATAGCCGCCCATCCATTCGGATGGAGTTGTGTTGGCGCTACATTTAAAACCCTGAGTACTCCCATTTGGAAGTCGTCGAAGGGCAACTTTATTCCTAGTTCCCTAAACATATACTCGTATACAAAAAAGGTGTCGGCCATCCCGGCACCTCCTAAAAAAACAAATTCAGGGTTCCCGGTTTCATCTCCTCGACAAGGGTTAATGGATATAGGGTAGGGATCAAAAGATTCCTATAAGGAAATTTCACAATGATTCATGAAAGATTGAAGACTCTTATTTTTCTTAAACCGAGAGAAGTAGGTGGCCACTTCACCATGCACCCACTCGTACCTATGAACTGTACAAGGAGGGAATACTGGTCTTTCCCTAGGAGGACTCATGCTCGTTTCGTACACCTTTTCGTTTCATACACGCACATCGAGGAAACCCTAAAAAACCTGAAGTTCTAGAATAATCTTTTTTCATTTATTTATTATTTATTTTTATGATTTTTTATTCTTTATTTTTTAATTATTTCTTCGGTCTACATCACTTTTTTGAAAAGCTGAATCCTCCTTCAGTATGCATTCTAAAAGATCATCCTTTTTAAACCGAATACCCTATTTGGCTTATTTCCATTCTTAAAAACCGAATACCCCCTTTAGTATTCCTAACCACCCACTAAACCGAGTACCCTCTCGTTTACATGTGCTTGTTACTTATATATTTTCTAGCCCTGACATCATACCTCTTCGGGCTTGGGGGGCTAGTGTACTTACTGGATAGGCAACTGCTCGTCCTACATATAGAAAAAGAAAACTGAGTACCTACTCGACCCAGTTTGACCGAATACCTCGTCAGAATTTAAAGGTAATTAATCCAATTAAGGATAATAATTAAAATATTATTTACTTTAAGAAAAGGGCTAAAATCAAGGCTGACTCAGCAGACCCATTAGCCCATTATAATGTCTATAAAAGGAAGGTAGGAAGTACAGGTAAATGGTTGATTTTTCATTATTAAATACTATTTATTACTCAGAACCGAATCCTGACTTCAGCATCAGAGTGTCTTTTGCAGGTACCTCCCCACGTCAGCAACAGTCAGAATGATGTCATTATTTCAGAGTAGAGACTTGAAGATCAGTGTTTCTCTAGCAGGAACACTAATAATCATGACTAATAACTCAGCTGAAAAAAAAGGAGAAATAAATAATCTACTATGATAATAGATTTTAAGATAATTTGACTTATTCAAACTGAAACAAATATGAGAACTTCTTAAAGATAAAGCACGTTTTCAATAAGTCTTAATACAAAACAACTACCAAATCAAGACAACACATAACATAGCGTACACAAAACCTAGTTATTGCTCTCCCAGAGGGAGTCACGAACAGAAAATTAAGCACAAGGTCTAGACAAGAACATGAATCATGATCTGTGAGCAATTCTAGCGAGTCATGGCCGGGGCAACATGAGGAGGCACTTGGTTGTCTCTTCTCATTCTTTCCTCGTTTGCCTTCCAACCTAGATACATATAATTAGACCTTGTGAATAGAATACATATATAATTGTTTGCATTTGTATATAAGGTAATGTTGTGGATATATATATACGGGGGTGAGTAATTATATTTATATGTATACCTATTGAGGGGTCCAGTCCACGGTTTTTAAGTTCTCTGTACTCTTGGCAAATAGCATAAATACAACACCAATAATGAACACAAAAGTCCGTGCATGGTTCTTCTGGTAAGTTGTAGAGGGCTCTTAATCTGCTTCTGAATCTGTATGTATATAAGCATGCACACCCAAAACAGCCAAGTGCACTAACGATCAAGCGTGCAATTGTAGGAGCTGCAATTATTTCCTCCATTCTTTTAGGAAAATAAGTATAATATTTTATGAGGGAGACAACTAACTGTGTATGTAGGTAATTTCTACATTTGAGTTTACTCACATGTTCTTCCTTGGTCTATTATTTCAACATTCTGAGCAAAGGTGTAACTTGGACAGCACCAGGTAGAAAAACCTTCATGAAACAAAGGGGAAAAGGTTTTCAAAATTATCATAATTAAAATTGAGCTAAAAGTAATTTTGGAAGACTAACTGTGTTTTACTAGTCATCAAGTTTCCTGAGAACTATACTCGTATATAAAATTTGTACCAGACATTTGCCAAAAAGTAATATAAGCAGTTATACCAAGGAAATATACTCGTAGAGGTATGTAATAAAATACTTGTTTGTGTCATAGCCATTGATATATACCGTCTTTGTTTTTGTGTTCTCTCTAATATTTAGTTCATCTCAGAGCAATCATAAGTAAATGTATGAAAATTAGAAATGCAACAATTTAACACATAATGTACATGGGATGGTGAGTTCTCAAAAGAGCTTACAACTTCCAGGGTCTTCAAAGCAATCAAATAAACCTGTAGTCCATTTTCCAGTGGGTGGAGCGTCGAAGTTTGGTGGTTGTGCTGCCTTGCCTTCACCAGAAAACATTTTGAAATTGACTGGTGACACAGAATATGTGTATAAAAGATGTGCAGATTAGCGTGTCTACGCAACAATGTTACTAATTCACTGGGTTATGTTGCACATATATATATATATATATATATATAACTTGGAAAAGCTGTACAGCTTTACATTTAGCATGGTTTATTTTGAATAGACTTTTAAAAATCAATTATATAAAAAAGTAATATAAAAAATATTTTTTTTTATAAATTAAAAATAATTTATACTTACGAGAAATTTTGAAAATTATTGTATTTTGTATTTTTAAAATAAATTATTTTCAATTTATGATATATATTATATATAAAATAATTTTTATTAAAAAATATAGAATTTAATATAATTTAATGTATTGATATTATTAAATACTAAAATTTTTTAAAAGTTATTATTTTTATTATATGCAATTTTGTATATGTTAAAAGTTGTTCTACTTGCACACTTACGGTTTGGAACATATATTACTTTATCTCTCCACTTTTCATTAGACGTTAAATTGACAAAGTAAAATTGTATTTTAGTTTTGAATAGTTCTAACATATACACGTAGAAGTTCTAATTGATTTAGCTTAATTCATATGAATTAGGGTTAAAAGATTTATTGTACTAAAAAGTTCAACACGTGAAAAGTTTATAAAACTAAAAATATTGAATTAACTCATAAATTAATTATCTTTAAAAAATTATTATAATTTATTAAAAATATTTATTTTATATAACATAATTTTTATTATAAACTTATAAATAAATAAAATTACTTAAAAATAAGTAAAAAATAATTAAATTTGTATATCATTAAATATTTAAAATAATTTATTTTTAAATTAAGTTACATATTTATTTTATTTTTATATATATTATTGATAATTATTAAATTATAGTAATATTTTTTATTTATATATTTTATAAATAAATTTTTAGCATATTATTTTATAATTTTATTTAAGTATTAATTATAAAATTTTTTATACTTTAATATTTTTATTTATTTATCTATATAAAATTATTTTAAAAATATCATAAATTTAATAAATATTTTTAAGATTAAAGTAATGATATAAAATTAACAATAAAAATGCTAGCTAAATTTGTTAAATCATTAATTATTATTAAAATAATGTTCAAAATAGTTTATTTAAATAAAATGAATGTATTAAAAAAAACTAAATGCAACACCACCTTTATAAAAAATGGTAGACATATAATATTTAATATTATAAAATTCATAAACTTAAATAAAAGTTTATAAACTTAACAAAAATTAATAAATATTTACAAATTTAAATTTTGTCTCATTTTAATTTGATAAAATTTATTTTTAAAGTAAAATAATTTAATTTGATAAAATTTTATATTTTTAAAAATATATATTTTATATTTAAAATAAATTTCAATTAATTTTTAATAAAATAATTTAATAAAAATAATAAATAAATACATTTTTATTAAAAAAAATAGTATAATAATAATTAATTACTCTGGTAGAATAAACCCTGTTCCATTGTCAACTCGAATGAATGACGTGCCCCAGGCAAAAACAAATAGAACTATTAACATGTCATTGGAATTTATTTTGACTTCGTTGGCAAATATATTTGCCCCTTCATATGCTTTAAGTAATCACTTGCATTACTTGCCCATGGTTTGTAAAGTATAGAATTAAATATTTATTCCCTTGGCTTTATACAATTTTTTAATTTAGTTTTTATATAAAAAATTATAATTTAATCGAGTAAATATTTTTAAATTAATTATATCATTAAATTTATATTAATAATATTAAATAAAAAAGTTGAAACATAAAAAATACTTATATTTATTTTTTATTTTGCGCTCAAGCGAATCGTCTGATATATGATTTTGTTAAAATAGAAAGAAATTCATATTCATATAGCAAGTTTAAAATTTATTTAATTTGTAATTTTTTATTAATAATTTAACAGAGATAGTTGATGGAAAAAAACTTATAAATTTTAAAAATTATCTTATAAAAAAACCAATTCAAGTAACATTTAGTTTATTAAAAATTAGTTTCTAATATTTTTTTTAATATCAACCTGTCATTTAAACAAGTACTTTGTAGAAGAATTTTAGTAAATTTTTTAATAAAGTATTGTTTTTTTTAATAAAGTTAGTAGAATCTTAAATTAAACATAAGAAAAAAAAAATATTAATAGTAGAGTTAAATTTAATGTTATTAAAACAAGGGATATATTAGCAAAAAAAAAAAAAGGGATAATATTTTAAAAAATTAGAAACTCAAAGAATTTAATTATTTTATTATTGTGCATAATCTAATTAATTGTGTCATATAAAAAAAAAACATGAAAGAGTAATAACTACAGATAAGGAATAATTATATTTATGATTTCGGTGGCTACAGCACCTACCCAACCTTCTAAGTTTCTATGAGATATTTATGACTTTTGGGTAGCTTAAGAAGAAGAAAAATAGTTTAACAAAATATCTCAACAATTTTTGGAAATTAAATATAAAGTGAGAATTTGAATCCCTTCTTTTGTCTATCATACAAGAGACATCACTCATTTGCATAATTACAATTGCTTAAATTTAATAATATTCAAATCCTTCTTGACCTCTACTTTCATCCTTTTGAGAGGTTGTTGCACAAGTTCATACGTAGTGTCACTTGGATTAGGTCAAAAGCTTTTCATATTTTAACGTGGTACAATTTTGATATTTTTAATTTTAATTATTTACATTTAACTTTTTTAATTTAATTTTTAAAAAAGTATTAGAATATAATTTTAATTTTTTAAAAAAATTATTCTTGTAGTGAATTTAATTCTTTTTAACTGATGAATTTTTCATAATATTCTTAAATGTTAAATAAAAATAAAAAATAAAAAATTTCCTACATTCTCATCCATGTCTAATTCATACCCTTAGTCCGAGCCACAAGAAATCCAGTCATAGTTGACGAGGGCGAGGTTGTGGCCCACGGTGCAGAGTCGTAGGAGGTGGAATTAATTTTTTAATAATTAAATAACATGATAAAAATATGAAATATTATTAATTTATACAAATAAATAAAAAATATACAAAAAATTTAAATAAAAATATAATATAAAATTTATGAAATATAATAAAAATATTAATTTTAAAATAGATGATTTAATCTGAGCATTTAAAAATTACAAAGACTAAAAATAAACAATTAAAATTAAAAGAATCAAAATCACACATATCTTAAAATATAAGAACCCAAAGTACAATTAAATTATTTATTTATTAAATATATTAACTTTTTATAAATAACTTCTTACAAAGTTTTTTTTCCATTTTATAAAAAAATGCAAATTAATAATATTATAGTACAACGTGACTAAAAAATATTTTATTGTTATCTCTCATATAACATTTTGTTAAGAATGTACATGAAAATAAAAATAAAAATAAAATTTTAATACGTAAATAAAAATAAATGTCAAATTATTTATTCAAAAACTAATTTTATTTTTTCTTTTAAGAGTCAAATAACAGAATAAACTTTTTAGAAAATAATTTAAAGTTTTAGAATAAAATTTAAGTGACTTATAATATTAAATTTTTTTACTATAATAATATAATTTTAAAAACTATTTATAAAATAATATAATATAAAGTTAATTACTAAAACGAGGGAATTCAACATTCGTTAAAAATAATGAAAAAAATTGACACTAAATATGAGAGTGAAACACGTGTCATATTTTAGTATTTTTTTTTTATTTTGTTTATTTCACATTCAAATGTTAAAAATGGACATGTGATGCACAATATTACTTCTTAAATCAAATTTTAAAATTTAAATTCAAATTTTAGCGGTAAAGTTTGAGTTTGAAATTTAATTTTCTTTTCACTTAAATTAAATTTTAAAATTCAAATTCAAATATTAGTTCCCTTTCAGATTAATTTAAGCTTAAATTTGAAATTTATTTATTTTTTGCTATGTAAATTGAAATTCGATCATGAAATTTAAATTTGATTATGAAATTTAAATTTACTTTCTTCCTTTTACTTTGACTAAAATTTGAATTCAAAATTTCTTTATTTTTATTCTTAAACTATAAACAAAGTGAGAGAAAAATTTAAATTTAAGCTTCAAAATTAATTTTACTTAAAGTGAAAGAAAATTTTAAATTAAAACTTAAATCAATGTAAAATGGAAACTAAAATTCAATTTTCAATTTTCAAATTTGGCCAAAATAAAAAAAAATTGAAATTAAAATCTCAAACATTCATAAGTAACACTCATCAGGATGTGTTATGTATTAAGAAGTAACACACAAAAATTTAGCAAGTGTCATGCTTTTAGTGCGTGATACCTATTCTTTTTACTTAATACTTTTTAAACATTGTTAAGTTTATCTATTTCGGTAATTACTTTTTAAATAATATTATTTTGATAAATAAATTTGAATTTATATTATTATAGTAAAAAATTGTAAACATCTAGTGTGGGGATTCATGTGGCAAAAATAACATCAAATAAGATTTTTTTTTTCTACAGAAGAAAAAATGAAGAATTATTTAATTTTTGAAGTTAATTTTTAAAATTAGACAATTTTTCATGTGACAAATGGTGTATTTTAGAAGGGAAAAGAAATATGATGAGAACAAAACAATTATATAAAATTAATAATGAATGAGGGAAAAAATTCTCAAGTTGTTAGGTTGCAATTCTTAAAATTTTATTTTACATTTGATGTGTGGGATGAAGCATATGTGTGCATTACTGTTGAAATGTGCCTGTGTTCAAAACAAGGACCACTCATCTTAACATTTTACTTAACTTAGAACTGATTTAAAGCATTTAAAAACAATGATTTATATTAAAAAATAATATTTATTATACCTTTTTATTCTCAATGTAATAGATACTTTATTTTTTAATAAAAATTTCTCACTTTTTTATTTGCTTAATCCTAGTCCCTCAACCACTGATCTTAGTCCAAAATACAAACATTTATTATTCCTATCAGAGACAACCATTTTATAGGCTATGTTCTGATTCTTGCTTATACAAGAGCCTTGCTTAAATGAAGGGTGGCCATGCAGGGACTAATGATAGTATAAGTTATTAAATGTTGAATCCAAGTAATGCTACCGATTGTAGCAATTTATGTCCTGTGTATGTATAGTAACTAGCACTATCCCTTTCCTTTGCCCCCTCATTAATTTTCTATACAACTATCTTTAATGGTTGGAAAGGTGGACAGTATATGGACAATGTATGATATGATATGTTATATATGATCATACCAATGAAACTATTAGACCAAATCTCATGTCAATGATCTTTCTGTCTATCAACACCCACCATCAACAGGCTCAATTGAACTTAAAAGGCCATTTCCTCTTAACTGCATGCAGTGATCTTCAGCATCCACTTGAGTACAAATGATCACCACTGCAAGTCCATTACAATGTGCCTCCTGCATTATGTTAACTGCATTATCAAGTGTCATTCCTGGTATCACCTTCATCAGCACTTTCACCACATATTCCCTCTTGTTGTAGTCATCATTGTGCAGCAACACTCGATAAGGCGGTGCCATTTTTCGCGATTTCCTGTGAGGAAACATGTTTTCAAAGGTTTGATCATTCCCTTTTGCTTCAAAACATGTGATGAAATGAGACAGGAACAAGTTTCCACAAAATGGATTTTCCTACTTCATGATTACAATTCTTTTCCTAAGACTAGTGAAAGAAACCATTCTACCACTTTTGTTTTGACAACTATGCCTTTAGATAATCTCCAAAACAAATATAGTGGTTCTCTAACAATATGTTGATACAAAAAGAACGATTTCCACTATCTTTGTCAACATGCTATTTATTTTGAACCATCCGTGGATAGTGGAATTATTATCGATTAAAGTGTTAGTTCATAACTAATATAGCAAACAACTAATGAAACGTTGAGTAAACTTAACGGCATACTTGCAAATCTCCCAAGACACAGGTTACTTTCACTTTGCTCACTTTCAGATAACCAATGATAATAGTATTGCTTTCATTAGTGTTGGATCAGTTACTAAGCTCATTTTTTACATCTGGCTGTAGTAGTTTAGTTCAATTGAAGGATAATTATGGAATATGAACTAGCCAATTCTTGAAACCTTTCTAGTCTCAGCACATCAGAAAGTAAAAATGAAAGCAAAAACAAATACAAAATCAAATGCAAATACTAAAGTTAAAAAAAAAAAGACACCAGTGCTTCTCCTTGGCCTCAGGTTAGAAACAAAATAAAATGCAAACAAGATGGACAAAAAAGAGGAGAAAAGAAGGAATTTATCAGAATAGGAAAACAATGCAAGAGATTAGTCCAAACAAAGTAAAAGATACACTTTCTCTCGATGAACTGATTCTAAAATATAAATTTGTATCAAGTGTTAATAATTAATAAATGGATTCATTATGCAAATGGATTAACTTTATACTACCCCAAAATTCCTTTTCTGATCTTATGATATATTGAATGCATCATAGCTGGGGATTTTAACATCTAACTAAATTAAAGAGCAAAACTCACCTAAAAAAGATTTTGCTTTATGAACCAACTAACCAGAACTTTCTTAATTATTTTATATGAAGCATTTTCAACATGTTTCTTCAATTCTTGTATAATAAAGTGTTAGATTCCTCTCAATTGTGCTCCTAATGGTGTTATAATATTACCTTAAATCAAATTCAGATTCCCGACCAGGAGATGTTGTCTCTATGGTTGGCCTCTCCAACAACCCACCACCTTTCCCTAATATTCCAGGGGTTGCCACTGCCATTACAACACTCCGATCTCTGCTATATTTCAAAGGAAAATTTTTATCTCCTGCGATTAAAGAGCTAATAGCAATTAAAATATGAACCCTGAACCTTCTATTTATTAAGGGTGCATAAAATTTAAACTATCCAAGAACTGAAAGATATGATCATGCATTTTCTCTTCCTCAATTTTTGGGGAAAAATCTCATAACATAAACAACCAGTTCATGAAAAAACAGAATGAAGATTAAGCAAACAATTTTGAATCTAATCCGTATGTTCAAAAGAAAAGATAAAAAAGACCACTAAAATTTCTACTTTAACTTCAACTTCAAAAAAATAATCACATGTTTCTAAAAATTCTAACAAAAAAAAGAGATTTTTATTTTATTTTTTTAAATATCCATTCGAAGAGAGTGGATGTGGCATAGTACCATAATTCGCCGCATTGAATACTTGGTTGGGTGAAAGAGCAAATGGAGTGTATAATGCAGCTTCCATGGTTGCCCTTTGTGGTGGTTGGCACTTAGCAAATAGCACCTAAGAATAGCTCGTTAGCATCTAGTTCTAGTGTGAGAGAAATAATCCAATGCTGCATTTGTCGTTACTCGTTACCACACTTCATATTTTTTGTGGGTGTAGAAAATTTTGTACGGTTCTCACTGAATTTGATTTTAAACGTTAATATGGTGACACGTCGTGTACATCCAAATTTTTTGAGGTGAGAAATGTTAGAAGCAAGAGAACAGACACAAACAATACATGTAATGTCACGTAGCTTTTGTTAGATTTTCTCAAATCAGTTTTCAGTACCAACGTCATTGTTATTCATTCCTGAAGATTTTAAATAGGTTTGAGTCATTCAATAGTTTTTTTTTTAAATATTATAAGAATTTTTTAAAAATGTTTTATCACTAAATTAGTCTTTTAAAAAATTAATGTATCATCGTTTACTAAACTAATCATTAAATGATGTAAAATACTATTATATTGGTCTTAGAAAAATGGTTAAAATGATATAAAAAAAGAGAGTTTAACTTGGTGATAAATTAAACTTCATTAAATAAGCTTTTATAAAAAGTAAAGTGATCACATAAAGTCTAATTTAGTCACAAAAGTTTTAAAAGATTAATTTGATAACGATTTTAAAGATCAATTTAGTAATCTAATTCTTTAAAAGACTTATTTGATGGCATTTATATGTTTAAATAACAAGTTGAAAATGGTCAATAAATTAATTCAATATTTAATTAAAGATTTATTTTGACCTGTTATGTTTATAACTTGTTTGTATAAACAAGTTGCACGATGAAAATTTTCTTGTCCCAGTTTAATAATATAGTTTAGGTGTGGAAAGAGATAGCAAACAACGTTGGCTCAAAACTTGTCCATCGCTGCCTCCTTTTAGGAAAATTTCATGTTCAATATCGCAATGAAAACGTTATTTTGATGTTATGTTCTTCGTGAAACATATGATTAAAGTTTCGTTAGGTAAAAGAAAAATAAAACGAAAATTCTGGACCAACTAACTCCACTTCACTGCACACCCAATTGACTCCAATTTTCTATGGATTTGATTCCGTCCATTCCGTAGATATTTCCTCCTTTTTTTCCTTCTTTAAATAGAAGTGCTAGTTTTTGCACTTTTGTTGAATATCAATAATAAAATTAATAAACCAACTTAAAAAAATTGTTTAAAAATTATGTTAAGTTACATTTTAATATAAAAACTTATATTCGAGTGAATTTGATATCAATTCAAATCCACCAATAATAAAAATAAGTTAAGACAAGAACATAAATGTTTGATATATTAATAAATTTTGTGAAGAAAACATATGTTTTGCTATTAATGGCCTGTTTATCAATGTACTGTAACAAAGAAACACACTTTTTAAAATAAATTTTATCAAAACTTTTTTTTTCCTTCATTTTTTGGCAAAACAAAGGTTACGGACGTTTTCAAATAGGCTTAATTGTATAGATTAAAAAGTTAAAGTTATCTTATTGTGCACATAATAAATTTTTTTAACTAATGTTATGAATTTTGTTGATAAAAAATTCTAATTTTATCTCATAAAAAATGATTTTAAAAAAAGTTAAGAGTTTAAAATGAATCATTTGAATATGCAAAATTAGAAAACGGAGAAACGCATTTACCTTTTTCAGTCAAATTGAAAGGCATAGATTCCCCGGTTGCATAGCGTGTGCTGCTGCTTTTAAGCAAGAGCCAATTGCATAATCCACGTGTAACTCATCGAAGTCCATTCTTCAATCATTACCGTTCATTTCATCACATTCAACTCCATCAACGGTCCATATTCCCTCCCATAAAACAAAGTAAAATATAGCAGCATTACATAAATCCTCGGGACCCACACATTACGTGTAATCGTGATCCACACCAACGTGATGAAAGTATAGAACTGTAGCCAAAACGCCACACACAGAGCATTTTCACCAATCAAAAGGCTCCACGTGGCTCCCAGACAGAAACCACCGACCTCGTAAGGCAAAGTTTCGTGTGTCTGCTATGTGTTGTTTAAGAACCTTTCCCTTGAATACCGGTCAGTGACCGATTTTAAAAAATCCATGACCCTCCATTTCAATATCTGCTTCCATTTTGTTGTTTTTCATTTTGATTCGATTCTGGGTATTGCCAAATTTCTCGACTTTCCACATATTTTGGATTTGTTTCTTACCCGAGCTAGTGCTTAGATTTGGGAAGGTTTGAAGAAAGAAAGAAACTTTGGAAGGGAAAAAACAACCCCATGATGCAACGGTTGGTTGATCACGCTCTTGCTGTAACCAAAGAGTAAGGCCATTTGTTTTTTCTATGTGGGGGGTAAATATTTTACCATGGTTGTTGGATATCTGTCTTAAATGAAATGGGGTGTGTGTATTTTATTTTTGTATGGAGCTTAATTATGATGGTGCTTGAGGAAATGTTTCAATGATAAGGGCGTGTTTGTTCTCTTTTTTATGTTGGCATAGTTTCTGTCTGGCTGTAATTGTACTGACCGGATGCTTGGTATTATTTTGAATGTTCAATGGGTAACGTTTGTTTGTTGGATGGAATTAAGTCCTTTTGCTTTTGTTATGCTTCAATGCTACAATCAAGGTTTAAGCATACCTTTCTCTCTCTGTATGTGTGTGTGAGGGGTGGTCATTGCTAATATAAAAAATTTGGCGAAAGTAATTCTGTTTAATTTTGTTGCTTTTGTTGGTAAGGATGGTATTTTATATAGCCTTAAGGCGTTGATTATCAATTTAAAAGACTTTTTTTAGTGGCAAAGAATTTTGGAGTCCTAAATTCCTAATACTTTTCAGTTTGTTGGAAATGATACAATGGATTGATATGTTTGAGGATGGGGTGCAGTCTTAATCTATTGTTCATTTGGAAGAGGATGAGCATTTTCATCTGGTTTTTAGTGCAGGTCTGTGAAGGCATTTACTTACGAGACCTTAAACAATATTGTGAGGCTAATCAATGGAGTATCTGCCCTTCTGTTGGCATTTCTACCTGGCAAAGCTAATATACTTGAAGGTATTCATGGTTGGGAACTCAGGCCAACTTTCCGTGGACCACGTTTTCCCCGTTGGATGGAGAAGTAAGTTTTCATTGACATTATTAATTTCTGTGTGAAATTTTTTCTTTATTTTCTTCTTCTTATTTAATTGATTTTATATACTTATATTTGCTACTTATATGCTCAAAGTCACTTGTTCAGTTATTATAATTTCTTTTGTTAATGTTTTTTCCAACATTGTATGTTCTATTATAGGTTGTTTCTTGTGTCATTTACTAAGTGGTTGCATCTATTGATGGTCATTTATTAATGATGCACCTCTGCATGCTTTCACCCCTTTACATCCACATGATTCTGGTGTAGTGCTCTGTTCATCTGCCTGTTATGAAGGTTGCAGCCTACCACACATGGTTACTTTAAAAAGAAGGAAAGAATGCAAGCATAAAGGAACTGTATTAGTGAGTAAACCAAATTTGGGAAGGAATGGCTCAGACTTTATATTTTCTGATTTAAGGATTCAAAGTTTTAATCTCAGACAAGAAGAAAGAAATAACAATTAGAGAAAGAATAAAGTAGAACAGAAAGTGGAGCAAGGAAATTAGCAGAGAATTAAGTATAGTAAACTAGAAAACAATTGTCGCCAAGGAGTTAGTATACAAGGATAAAGAACTAGTATAATTCTTTTAATTATTTTTTTTATTTAGATATTTGAGTCTATCAAAGACTATTGAGTTATTTTATAAATATAGAAATTTTGTAAATTTATTTGACTATGTATTTTATCATTGTTTTAAATGTTACATTCTTATACTTTACAGTCTACCTATTTCTTTTTAATATATATTCTTTTTATTCCTTAAAAGTTCAGAGTTTGTAACATTCTTTCTATCTCATTGTGCGAGGAATGCCTTTTTTAGAGCTTCATGATGGCTACGTTGTTCATTATATAATTATATTGTTGCCCTTGCCCTGAGTTTTGTTTTCTTTTTTTTCTAGTGGTGTGTCCTCTTTCAACCAGTTCATCCATGAACTTTCTGTGGATTCTGATAATTCAAGCCCTGAATACTCATCTGGAGAAGAAGACACTGATACATATACTGATGAATATGAATACCCTCCATCTCCTGCGCCTCAGAGTTCTAGAACCGCAGAAGGTGGTTTTACCAAATACAGTAGGCATAAGATGGATTGGATCCAGTATATCTTACTTTGGATTTTGTTTCCTGTAAAGTTATTGCTGCGCATTCCATTTCTTCTTTTCCACTTAGCTTATTCTAGGGTGTCAAAAGCCATGTCTACCTCTGGAAATAAGCGCCCATCACATTTACATGCACATAAGAGGATGCAAAGCCTCAAGGATCATATTATCCACCGTGCTACTGATAGGAGACGTGGAGTTGTAGAGGTTGTGCAATAGTTTCATTATCTATTAAGTTGTATGGTGTATGTTTATATGTTTTAAATAATTTTCTTATGAAGATAAATTTTTATTGCTAAGTTTATTTTGTCAATCAGGATCTTCATCTAGGCACAGAGTTATGTATAGAAGCTGTCTTTGATGTTGTTCACAAGGCAGCACATCTTCTTCTTTCCCCATCAAAAGCTTTTGGGACATTATTCAGGTTGTTTTCATCTCATGAAAGTGGTGTTAAAGAAGATTGTGACGGTGTAGAGAATGTTTCCATTTCTACTGCTACACTAGGAGAGAATGACCCAAAACCTACAGAGAGGAATATCAAGTATCAGCCTTTGAATACAGATGCCCGGACATGTCAGGATGTCATAACAGATCTTGGGTAATGGCCTTTACATTTTTGTTCTTTTTTGTATTGAAGTTTTGCTTGTTTGCTTCATGATTTCTCATTCTACTTATGGCAGGTATCCATACGAAGCCATTCATGTGATAACTGCCGATGGATATATTCTTCTTTTGGAAAGAATACCTAGGTAAAAATAATTCATTCTTTAGGGAGATCATATGGATCTTCATAGATTTAATGATATACCCTTTTTGAGTTTTGTACTGATTTTCATCTTCTGCTGAAGTTAAAATTAAATGCATCACACATGGTTATTTATTCAAAAGTCATAAATGGATACATCATCCATGATAGTAATTGGCATATTTGATATCTCAATTTTTTTTCATTGTTTGGAGTGAACTACATCAGATATGTGCAATAATTGCCTTATGTTTGAGACTCTGTCTTTTTCTGTTGATAATACTTATTTTCAAACTTAAGCAGTTGCTCATTCTCGACAGAAATGTATCATGGGATGAGAATGAGAGCTTGCAATTTCATGTCTAGGGCTGGAGGAAACCCTCATTATGTTTCATTACGAATATAGTTAATTTCTTTGAACAGGAGTCAGATAAGAGTGTGGAAAAATGTGTGGAAATGGAGATGATTAAGGATGTCTGTATAATTTCTAGGAAAAAAAGTGTTCTCTCTGCAGTGTGTAGTGTCTAATGCCTGTAATCTGACTTCACAGGCGAGATTCAAGGAAAGCTGTTTATCTTCAGCATGGCGTTTTGGATTCATCAATGGGGTGAGTGAGGTTATCCCTGCATTACTCGGTTCTGAATTAATTCTGTGATTACTTTAATAATTTACTTATATCAGTTGAAAGAGTTATACAGTATATTTGTGTTTGAAAAGCTCATGATTTGAAGAATGAGTGTTTTTGCTTAATGTTGTTATGACATCAGAATAAACAACTTGTGTAGGAAATTATGCATAATTTTTGTTACATTATGAGCTTTATTTAAATCAATAGGTGCATGAGTCTTAGTATTAGCAGGATAGAAACAGTCCATTAAATGGAATTGACGTTATTTACCAAAGGCCAGAACATTTAGAATATTTGAATGCTGAACTCACTAGTGCATAGCTTGTTGAGAGGTCTTTTGTACCGCTTAAATTAAGGTTAGCATTGCAGTATTTGCTAGGGATGGGAATATGTGTTTTATTCTAGGAATTGGAATAAACCAGGACAATAGGTGTTCTTGTCATTGTAATTTCTCTGATATGTTAGTTGGTGTATGGAGGGATGACATGGCCTGTATTACTAACAGATAGAGTCAGTGACAACTGAAATTTTTATTCGTTAAAAGTCATGGTGTGCTGATGTATTATCTCCTTTGGCCAAAAGAAAATTATTCTTTTCAGTTTTATCCTTGAAATACATCTCAAATGGGGGAGTAGGAGTCCCCCCTATAAGCCTCAAGACCATATGAACCTCATTCAATGGGGGACTGTATGTGTAAATTGTGAATATATATAGGGACTAATGAGATTTACTGTCTTTTCTTGAAGTTAAACTTGTTTGTTATTGAAATTATGTTTACTGTTCAGTTACATGGTTATCAATTTTTTTGTTTTTTAGACCATAAAGTTAGGACTTCAAATCCATTCTTCTCAAATGTACTTAACCCGTTAATGCAATCAAGATTATAATTATGTTCTAATATATTGCTTATTCTTTCTGAGGTTCAGTTGGGTATCTAATGGTATTGTTGGCTCTCCTGCTTTTGCAGCCTATGACCAAGGTTTGTTATTTTTGTCAACATATTTACTTCGGCAAACATATCCGTTTTGGAATTATTACATGTATATTTTGTTTTATCTGCAGGATATGATGTATTTCTAGGGAATTTCCGAGGTTTGGTTTCTCGGGAACATGTCAACAAGAACATATCATCACGTCAGTAAGTTCATGAAGCAAATCTTTTAGACTATGTTTGGAAATTTTTAGAAAGAATGAAACAGAGACCATGGAAGGGAAGAAATGGAAAGTGAATAGATGGAATTGAAAAGCTTAACCTTCCCTAAGTTTTGGATGATTAATGTGGAAAGGGATAAAGTATATAATAAATGACAATTGTTTAAAAAGGGAAAAAGAAAAGCTATTCCCCTCATCCACCCGTCCTCCCCCTCAATTTGGGGGGAAACAACAAACTTGATAAAATTCTTACTTCCAGATAAGGGGAATTATTCTCTTCCCATTCTTTCCCCTTCTATATCTATGGATTACCTTTAATTGAACAAAATGTCTGATTTTCATTTTTGGCGTCGGCCTGGCTTTGGATTTTATATTATTATATTCTTAGGAAATTGATGTAATGCAGATATTGGAGGTACTCCATCAATGAGCATGGGACAAAGGATATTCCTGCTATGATAGAGAAAATCCATGAAGTAAAAACGGCTGAATTGAGTCTTAGTAAACCTGATATTGAGGAGGAAACTATTGATGATCAGCCTTACAAGCTTTGTGCAATTTGCCATAGTTTGGGAGGAGCTGCTATGATGATGTATGTTATTACACAAAGGATAGAAGGGAAGCCCCATAGACTTTCAAGATTGATTTTACTATCGCCGGCTGGTTTTCATGATGACTCTAACATGGTATTTTCTGCGGCGGACCTACTATTAGTTATACTGGCTCCTGTTTTGTCTCTTCTTGTGCCTGCATTCTATATACCAACCAGATTTTTTCGTATGCTTGTCAATAAGCTAGCTCGGGATCTGCATAACCTACCTGCAGTTGGAGGACTGGTTCAAACTTTAATGAGTTATGTTGTTGGTGGAGACAGCTCAAATTGGGTGGGAGTTTTAGGATTACCACACTACAACATGAATGACATGCCAGGAGTATCTTTCCGTGTTGCTCTCCATCTTGCGCAGATGAAGCGTACTGCAAGATTTAGAATGTTTGATTATGGGAGTGCATCTGCTAACATGGAGGTGTATGGTTCAACTGTGCCTTTGGACTTGGGTGAGCACTATGGACTCATTGACATTCCTGTTGATCTTGTTGCTGGACAGAAGGACAAGGTGATAAGGCCTTCAATGGTAAAACGGCACTATAAATTGATGAAGGGTGCTGGGGTAGATGTTTCATATAATGAGTTTGAATATGCGCATTTGGACTTCACCTTCTCCCACCGTGAAGAACTCTTGTCATATGTTATGTCTCGTTTGCTGACTGTGGATCCTAATCCAAAGCATCATTTGAATGAAAAGGCTGTTGTGAGGCCAAAGAAGAAAGGACAAGTTGCAGCTAGCGGGTAGATTATACAAAACAACTTATAGACAGTTCATATTCCTTTGTGAAGTACTTTTGCCACTTCTTTCGAGAGTTTATGTAGTACCTGCATGTTCGAATATAGAGCTTCTCTGTATACTAGGAGTCCTCTTTTCCTACAAATCTTTGTTTTACGTTTGGAGGAAAATAGTACTTGAAAATATATTGCAAATGTACATTGTAAAATAGTGTTCTGATCATCAAAACAGAACAAAGGCATTAGTCTAGATTAATATTGTATCATGTATGCTTTCAGTCCACTAGTGTTTATTCTTGACAATTTGATGTTGTCAATGGATTTCCTCAGGCCAGTGATTGTATTGATACTTAAAAACATGTCACTCTCCCTCTCTCTCACAGACAAATAGTCGCAGTTTACTTTACCATAATGAATGTGAGATTATCTAAATTCCATGCAATTATAGGAAATATGTATAGTTGTATATCTGTGAAACTGTTGTTACTTTTGCAATTAGTACTGTTATAACAGCCATAAAAAAAAAAGAACTAAGAAAAAAATGAAGAGTATGATATCATGACTGGTCTCTCCTATCCATCAATGCTCTTCAAACTCCTGCAGCAGCTCCTTCAACTTCTAGCTTTGACTTCTTTCGAGAGCCACATTCATTCTTCGAAGAGTGGTTCAACGAACATCGTTTCCTGCCATTTATTTATTAGTCAAATTATGTAAATATTGAAAAAGGCACATTCAGATGAAAACTTGAAAAGAAAATAATAATATTAACATCATACTCACCCCATGGAAAATTGTTCCTAAGTAATGATATTTGCTTTCAGTAGTAGATAAGATCAAAGTCTGAAAAGGGAGATCAATCTTGGCACACTGCATTGACATATTTAACATCAGAAAAAAATCTTCTTGTATATTCCAACAAAACCCATGCAGAAAATGGATCGTTTGTTCCTCTTTATGCTAATTTTTAGTGGGAGAGAATATATTTCATTTGTGTGTGTATTTGAATAATACTTTATGCACATTGCTGCTGCAAGATAAAATGTTTGAAGTCAAATAAATTGTTATTAAATTTTGCAGTAAAACTACCACAAAGCAAATGAAAATTTTAGAATTGGAAACAACTCCATTAAATTGAAATTAAAAATGTTTTTGGACCATTTTATATTAAGTATAGATGACTGACCATGTTTCTCTCCATCAAATAGTCGTACAAGTCAAGATTGTTGAACTGCAATGTCTGCAAGAACACGTAATCTATAGGTCCACGACAAATCCTGCATTTAAACGTTATTAGAATATATTTATATATAAGATTTCCTCGCAAAAATCAATGTTAATTTTAAAAGACAACAACTGTATTGTGTCATAAAATTACTTCTTCGTATGGTTAACAGCCCTCTGAGGTAAGAAGAGGGCTATCTCCAGCCTAGTCGGCCATTGAAGAGTAAGACTGCAAAGAGCAACAAAAATAGATGATCGTTACTTAAGACATTATGCAAAAATGGTTTTTTTTTTCGAATGATTTTGAAGAATAGCTTTTAGGCTTTGTTTAGTAGTTACGAGGGAAAAAAAAATATGAAATGTATTGAAAGACACAGGAAGCGAGGTTAAATTAATTTGTTGTTTGAATGCTAAAAATCTCCCAAAATTAGAAAACTAAAAAAAATAAAAAAATTACAAAAGAGAGATTTTGGAGAGTATCTAAAAAATCTTGTTTTTAAAAGCTCTCAAAATAAGAAATGGTATTTTGAAATCTTTCCTTTCCATTTAATTTACCCCTAAATCTAACTTGTAAACAATGCCTCTCACTTTTTGGATAAATTTTTAAGATGCAAGTATACAGAAAAATGTGTGTTGTTAGTTAGGATTCATTAACATCTAGGTGATGAAAAATGTTACCTATATGAACATAGACTTTTAAGTTGATAATTATTGACTAAAAGGAGGGAAATTAATTACAAATATTGCTATATTAATTGGGGAATGTAACACCCAAGGTTTTCTTAAAGAAATTAGGATTGGACAATATATAGAAGACACACTTACGTGAAGGATGCTGTGTTTCTCTTCATGGCCTGTTTCACAGAGAGAAAAAGGGAAATAGTTCAGCTAATCTGTAGTTAATTAATTCCCATACTTGATAGAATGCAGGTTGTTCGAACGTAGGAACAAAAGCCACTCTGGATCTCACCTTACAAACTAGATGTTCTAGGTCAAGAAAAATTCTTTTACAAATTAATTGATTCTATCATACCTTTGCTTTATGAAGGGATGATCGGTTTGAGAGAATTTTTCCAACCAAAGTTCCCTGGATGTACAAGAGAAAAGATTATTGTAAACCAATTATTTGTGATCAAGGCTCTAAACCCAAATTGCCAAATTTAATGATCAATTAAACATTATATTATATTATATTATATATATATATATATATATATATATATATATATATAGGAAACAAATATCTTCAAGATTTTTCCGTGCATTATCATAGCATTTATTATTTTGGCTTTTAATGAAATAATGAATCTAGCAACTTTACCTCCCATGCATTCAGAAATTGTCGAAGATCTGAAAGACATGGTGGGCGTGGCCAAAAATTTTCTGGATTAAATTGACCCATTATTGGTGCAGGAGGAAGCAAAGGGCTTCCTCCTATTGCAGGTGTACCTAGTGGACCAAACCCAGTCAGTTGGTACTTGTGGTAACTAGGAAAATGTTGGTTACCAATACCATATGGATTAAGCATTGGGAGGCTTGGTGATGATGAATGCGGTTGAGATTGAACAGATGGGTTCCCTGTTGTATGAGGGAAAATGGAATGATCACCAACTGAAGAACCAACCTTCGGAGGATGAACAATATTCCCTAGTCTATCTGCTGTGCTCATTGCACCACTTGGTTGATACCATGCTTGTGGTCCAACAGGCCTCAAATTTGGATTGTTTTGAGGCAACAAGAAACTGGAAATTGCATTGTTTTCTGAGCTAAGAACATTGTTCACTACACCCCTATTGCTTCCAAGTTCCTGAATTAGTCCAATTGATGACCCTTCTCCAGCATTGGCAGTGTATGCATTAGGTACCATTGGTGAAATTGAGGTCAAGTCAACAGTGGATGTTTGGTTTGTTGTTGCACTTTGTGTTGCAATACCCCCCAACACTTGTCTAAATTCTTCTTCCATTGCTCTAATGGCCTCATCTAATGGAATTGACTGTTCTGGCTGAAAGAGGTCATTTAACATTTCCTCTTCCATTGTTGTTACACATGCCTTGGATTTTTTCTTTGGCAGAAAAATATCATTTTCACCTAGCTCAGCCATAATATCATCATACACATTCATTGACTGGGAGTAGCTGGAAGAAGGAACATGTGTCTCATCATTTATTGTAGCATTTGGGACACCAAAGGGCAACGGGCTTAGACTCTCCTGAAAAAAAAAATGTATTTCATGTTAATAAAAAGCAAATGAAAAATACATAAAAATAGGTTCAAGGTGAAAAATAATAACACTTTAAAAGGAATTTAACTCCTTGAAGATAAAAGGGAAAAATAACTCCAACGGCCACACGTACAAATCTATTATTTCTTGCAGCTCCAATGGTTTGCCCTTCAATGGAAAAGTTACCAGCTGAGAATAAGTCTTCTGAAAAATCAAACAAAAAGAAAGGAAGGAATGTTTCAAAGAACTTGATACATAATGGCAAGTGAACAAACTAAAACACAATCACTTGTTCCAAAGGGCTGTTAATTTATGTAGAAATCACTAAAATGGTATTAAGAAAGTAAAAAAGTAAGCTACATAGTGTTGGATAAATTTAATATAATATATATTAGAATTAAAACTAAATTAAAGGGTTGTCCAACAAGAAGAGCCGAGATTTGTCATCAAGGCATTGCCTAGTGGTAGTAGTGGTCACCAAGTGATATAAGTGAAACAACGAACTAAAATCTCCATAAGAAACAACAACTTAGTTACTATAAATAATAATGCATACCTATAAATATTTGAGCACTGATATAAAATGAATAGTAAGAAGCAGAAAAGGAAAATAAGATATTTCTTTTATGGCACTTGGCGAAAGAATTTTATTTCTACAGTAGTTAGAACTATTTTCAGCAATACTATTCTCTAATTAATATGGAAATATGGCAATTAAGTGATACAAAAACTAGATGCAGTTGAATGGGGAAAAACACAAATTACTATCACCCACATGTACATATAAACGCACAAACAAAAGGAGAAGATAGAGAACCTTGGTCACCGCTAGCCAAGGCCATAGAATGTCTCATATCAAATGTTGTCTTCATTGATTCTACATTTTCTTTTGTGCAGAAATCTATTGTTCTTTTCCCACGAATGGCTCGGCGTGCCTCCTTAAAATTTTTTGACAATAAAACAGTAAGTTTACCAATTCTATAATTGGAGATGGGCATGCTTACCATTGAAGAGTCATTATTCCCCTACAAAATAAGGAAAACAAAGTTATGTACGTACCAACCAAAATACACCCAAAAGCTTTTACATTTTGGGAGGCCTAAGAATAAGATATTAGTGAAATGATGTTAAATGTCTCAAAGATTAGCTTTTACCAAACTAAATATCATTCCAAAAGTTGGATGTTGCTTTGGAGTTATTATTGAAAGGGTTACCGCCAGCTGCATATAATAACATGAGCATAGTCAGTGTAAATTAATAGAAGTCTATGGTTAGACAAAAAAAAAAACAGTGTTCTAAGGCATTACCGGGCCAAACATTTGAGCCACATCCAAAAAATCAACCATGGAAGTCTCTAATTGCGTTCCTACATAATTTCCTTCATGGATTTTAGGAACTGGCAATAGCATTTTTCTTGGAATGGGATCACTCGCTGTAACCAGGACGCAGTGCCGTTCTCCATCATAGTATTCTTGTGGTGTCATTTGATTGGAGGGCTTTGGAAACATCTGGTTAATTAGGCCACAATATTAAGATTGTTATGTCCCTTTTCATGATTCCATATGTTAGATAGTAAATATATTAATGGAATAAGAAGTAAAAGGAGTATGCATGTGTTCACATACAGCTAGTGCTTCAGCTAGTCCTTCTACCATGGCATGTTGATTTTGACTGTCCCCATTGAAAGATAAAAGCCATAGGGCGCCCAAAAAATAATCCACATCTCTTGTCCAATGGATAAATTGGGTGTCAAAACCTGCATAAAGGATTGCAAAAGGAAATGGATTTAGGATTTGTCTCAAAGCAAAAATTATATTGAGAGATAGATCCCTTTCCTACGAGGAAATATTACCATATATATAACCTAAGCTTACTATAGAAATGTTTCAAATAGGTGATAATGTGTCTCATAAATATGAAGGCAATAACAATGCTAGAGTACACAACTACTATATGTTACATTGAATAAGGCAAAATATCTTATATAAAAAATATGAAAAAGATAAAAGAGATACCTAGATCAGAGTTGGTGTTAAACATGACAAGTCCCAAGTCACATGATGCTTGATTAGCTTCCTGCTGACAAATGATGCAAGGTAAGGCAAGACATCTTTTGTGGATTATTTGATAGCTAGACTATATTTGCATGCGTACCTTCACACTAAATTAACACCTTAATGTAGGACTAATACATGATTGTGAATCTTCTATTTCAAGTGAAGTATTGGATTAGTTTATATGGGGTGCATAAAAAGAAAGCTTAAACTTTGTTTTGAAATCGATCCGTTTGAGTAAGTACTCATACAAGTTTCCAGCAAAAAAATTGTAACACGAAAATCAAAATAAAAAAATTATTGGTTTAAGACTTATAAGTTTCAAAATTACCTGTTCTCCTGAGTTGCCACACAAAGCCCTGCACAATCAACAAAGAAAAAGGTATACACGTGAGAACAAAATTTACTCATAAACTATAAATTACTTATTCATCTCATTGATTGAGAAAATTAAGCTGCCCCCATTTTCAGTCACAAAACAAAGGTTAACAAATCGGCTATATATACGCAAATTATGCACCATGATCCTTACAACGTTGGGAATTCTACTAGCTAGGTTGAAGATTGATAAATAGACCAGTGAACATTAAAAGTAATCAATTAATTCATATTCATTTGAAGTTATTACTAGTTAGATGATTTCCTCATTTTGTGTCATAATGTGTAATAGTAGAGCATTATTACTTAGCATGATATAAGGTACCAAGTTATACATAGAATTTAAATACATTAAGCTTTACTGCCTAAATTAATCCTCCAATAAATGTTTTAAATATCCCATCTCCGAAACGTAAGAGAAATTAATTTCTCACTTATCAGGATTTATTTTTTTTACTTTCAGTCAAAGTCAACACTATTGCAATTCTATTAAAATAATTTTGCTATTTACTAAATTTAAATTTTACATTAAATTCTTTTGTCATTGAGTGAAACATGAGAGAGAGATAGAGTAAACTCTCCAATCCTATTTAATACTTTGACTCTTTATTTATTGAAGGAAGTATAAAACATTAATGAAGAAATTAAACTTAAAAATAATCTTTTGCCACATCTTTTCACAAATCTTTTTAACAATTCTTCTTCTACTTTTCTACTTTATAGAGAGAAAGTATTATATATATATATATATATATATATATATATATATATATTCCTAAAAATATAAAAATAATGTATCTAATATAATTTTTATTTAATAACTAAAAAAATTTGTAAACATAAAAGATAGAAGAATTTAAATTTTTTTTAAACAACAATGAGATTTTAGAATTTGGTTATTTTACCAACATAATTAACAAGACTTGCTCAGGCTTCTTTGAGGTTATTTTTTTCCTACTAATAAAAAAAACTAAACTTTTATTAAAGGATTTGTACGCAAGAAACTTTTTTTTCACTAATCACTACCATATAAATCTTTTATTTGAAAAAGGTTGAATTTTTTCTTTCGTAAAAGGTTTTCTTGATTATTTGAAATAATTTTAATTGAAATACTTGAAAGTTTTGTTTTATTTTTATTTTTATTTTAATTTTCCCTCTTTACTCGTATAGTCATCTCATTTTCAATCGATTCAAAAAAAAATGTCACTGGTAAATTTTTTTACAAAAATCTATGATATATAAATAATATTAAGGATAGAAAATTGATTTATAAATTTAGCACACTTGTGATTCATGGTCAATAATTTAAAATCTTTATGAAATGAATGTAAAAAAGTAGCAAGAGGTTGAGTACCTAATCGTTGGTTATAGGATGAAAAATACAACAAGCAAATGCATATTAATCAATACATGAGTAGAGAGAATTATGCAAACCTGACAATTTTTACAAGATATTCTGAAACAATAATAGACCAGTAAGGCATCAAGGCTGAGTTACCATCCACTATTATGTTTAACCACTTCTTAGTTGTCATTGATTTTTCAAGAACTTGTGATGCTACAGAAAATAAGATGATGAATTGAAGAGACAAATGAAAATGTAGAGAAGAAAAGAAGATGTAGCAAACTAAAGCCAGAATGAAGTATGGGCATTCTTTGATTATTTATTTAACTTTTATCTCAATCGTTGAAGTTATATTGAAGAGTCGAGTGAATAGGTTTAGACACGTCACTTTCTTTGACTACTTTTGATTTTTTATATTCACCATTTTAACACTGAAAGTATAACTGCAATATTAACAAATATATGTTACCGGGATTTCAGGCTTCAGATATTGTAAAAGTAATTGTAGTTGTTAGTTATTAAGAGCATACATTTACACATCATAAGCTTTATCATTAAGGCAAAACATTTAAATTATGCATAGTTTTTATACTTAATTGCATATTTTGTCCTTTTAGCCTAGCATTTGTGAAATTTTAGTCTTCCTATTTTTTATTGAGTTAATTAAGTTATTCTATTTTTAAACATGTACAAATTTAGTTTTTTTTTTCATATTCTAAAACACCTAATTATCATCATTTTACTTAAAATCTATAAATTGAATCAATTAAGTTATATGTATCAGACAATATCTTCTTACACTAGCGTAAGTCTAAAATTTCTTACACTGAGTCTTTCATTTAACTTACATCTAATGGGTTATAATTTCTTACTTCACTGACCATTAGATATAAGTTAAATGAAAAACTCAAAGTTTTTAGACTTATACTAGTGTGAGAAGAACATTTTCCATACGTATATATATATTCCAATTTTGACATCTTATTTTTCCTAAAATAATACTATTCTTTTTTACTTTAAAACATTTAAAATTATTTATAATAAACTAATTATAAAACCCCAAATATAAAAGAATAATTAACTTAAAAATTGGAGAAAGCTAAAATCACACGTAAATTAAACTAAAAATTAAAAATGCAATTAAGTTTTTTTTGAAATAATTAAGTTGTTTTATTTTTAAATTTGTACAAAGTTAGTCCCTTTTGTCTATATTCTTCCTCCTAAAACACTCAATTCTTATGTCTTACATAAAAACTTATTATAAATCTCAATCGTTGAACTTTATATGCCGAGTGAATAGGTTTAGACACATCACTTTCTTTGAACTACTTTTGATTTTTTATATTCATCATTTTAACACTGAAAGTGTAACTGCAATATTAACAAATATATGTCACCGGGATTTCAGGCTTCATACATTATAAAAGTAATTGTAGTTGTTAGTTATTAAGAGCATACATTTACACATCATAAGCTTTATCATTAAGGCAAAACATTTAAATTATGCATAGTTTTTATACTTAATTGCATATTTTGTCCTTTTAGCCTAGTATTTGTGAAATTTTAGTCTTCCTATTTTTATTGAGTTAATTAAGTTATTCTATTTTTAAACATGTACAAATTTAGTGTTTTTTTTTCTTCATATTCTAAAACACCCAATTCTCATCATTTTACTTAAAATCTATAAATTAAATCAATTAAGTTATATGTATGAGACAATATCTTCTCACATTAGTGTAAGTCTAAAATTTCTTACACTGAGTCTTTCATTTAACTTACATCTAATAGGTTATAATTTATTACTTCACTGACAATTAGATAGAAGTTAAATGAAAAACTCAAAATTTTTAGACTTATACTAGTGTGAGAAGAACCTTTTCCATATATATATATATATATATATATATATATATATATATATATATATATATATATATATATATTCCAATTTTGACATCCTATTTTTTTCTAAAATAATACTATTCTTTTTTACTTTAAAACATTTAAAATTATTTTATAATAAACTTATTATAAAACCCCAAATATAAAAGATTAATTAACTTAAAAATTGGAGAAAGCTAAAATCACACGTAAATTAAACTAAAAATTAAAAATGTAATTAAATTTTTTTTTGAAATAATTAAGTTGTTTTATTTTTAAATTTGCACAAAGTTAGTCCCTTTTGTCTATATTCTTCCTCCTAAAACACTCAATTCTTATGTTTTACATAAAAAATTATTATAAATATCAATCGTTGAACTTTATATGCTGAGTGAATAGGCTTAGACACGTCACTTTCTTTGAACTACTTTTTATTTTTTATATTCACCATTTTAACACTGAAGTGTAACTGCAATATTAACAAATATATGTCACCGGGATTACAGGCTTCTGACATTGTAAAAGTAATTGTAGTTGTTAGTTATTAAGAACATACATTTACACATCATAAGCTTTATCATTAAGGAAAAATAATTAAATTATGCATAGTTTTTATACTTAATTGCATATTTTGTCCTTTTAGCCTAACATTTCTAAAATTTTAGTCTTCCTAATTTTTATTGAGTTAATTAAGTTATTCTAATTTTAAACATGTACAAATTTATTTATTTTTTTCATATTCTAAAACACCTAATTCTCATCATTTTACTTAAAATCTATAAATTGAATCAATTAAGTTATATGTATGAGATAATATCTCCTTACACTAGTGTAAGAGTGTAAGTCTAAAATCTCTTACACTGAGTCTTTCACTTAACTTATATTTAATGAGTTATAATTTATTACTTCACTAACCATTAGATATAGGTTAAATGAAAAACTCAAAGTTTTTAGACTTATACTAGTGTGAGAAGAACATTTTCCATATGTATATATATATATATATATATATTCCAATTTTGACATCTTATTTTTTTTCTAAAATAATACTATTCTTTTTTACTTTAAAACATTTAAAATTATTTTATAATAAACTTCTTATAAAACCCCAAATATAAAAGAATAAC